TGAAGGAGTGGAAGGCTTGGAATATGATATTTCAGAAGTTAAAAGAGTTAGGATTAAAGCCAAGAATTAACTACCAGCAAAAATGAATATAATGTTTTGGGGCAAATTTTAATATTTAATTAAACAGAGAGTAGAAATAAATGGAACTTTCCTTAAAATTATAAGGAGTATCTATTTAAAACCTTCAGTGAGCCTCACCAGGACTGGGGATAGGTTAGAAACCTTCCCAATAAGATCAAGAGTGAAGCAAGGGTGCTGATTATCACCACTATAATTCAGTATTTTGTTTATTATTTTTTTCTTTTTTTATATGTCTATTTATTTATTTAGTTTTAGTTTTAGTTTTCAACATTTACTTCCACAAGATTTTGAGTTCCAAATTTTCACCTCATCTCGCCCCTCCCCCCACCCCAAGATGGCATGCTTTCTGAATACCCTTTCCCCTAGTCTGCTTTCCCTGCTATCTCTCCCCCCCTTCCCCTTCTATTTTCCTATAGGGCAAGATAGATTTCTGTACCCCATTTCCTGTATTTCTTATTTCCCACTTGCATGTAAAAACATTTTTTTAAACATGTGTTTTTAAAACTTTGGGTTCCAAATTTTCTCCCTTCCTCCCTCCCCACTCATCCTCATTGAAAAGACAAGCTATACATGTGCAGTTATGCAAAACACTTCCATAGTAGACATGCAGTGAAAAACTAACTCTATTTCCCTTAATTCCTATCCCACCCCCCATTTATTTTATTCTTTTTTTTGACCCTGTCCCTCCTCAGAAGTATTTGCTTCAGATTATCCCCTTTCCCAATCTGCCCTCCTCTCTATCATCCCCCTACTCTCTCGCCCCCTTCCCCTCCTATTTTCCTGTAGGGTAAGACAGATTTCCATGCCCAATTGAGTGTGTATGTTATTCCCTCCTTAAGTCAAATACTATGAGAATAAGATTCACTCATTCCCTCTCACCTTCCCCCATTCCCCCTCCACTGTAAGAGCCTTTTCTTTTCTGTTTTTTTTTTTGTGAGATAATTTACCCGTTCTACCTTTCCCTTTCTCCTTCTCCTAGTATAATCCTCTCTCACCCCTTAATTTTATTCTCCAGATATGACCCTTTCTATAATTCAGTATTACACTAGAAATGTTAGCTATAATGATTGCAATGGAAGATTATTGTTTTCTAGGAAATGACAAGCAAGGTGATTTCAGAAAAAAAAGTGTAAAGGCTTACGTGAACTGATTGAAGTGAACAGAACCAATAGAATGTTGCACACAGTAACAGCAATAGTTTTTGATGAAGATCTGTGAATGATTAAGCTATTCTCAGCAATACAATGATCCAAGACAAGCTCAAAAGTCTAATGATGAAGCATAATATCCACCTCCAGAGAAAGAACTGATATTGATTGAATATATACTGAAGCATGCTATCTTTCACTTTCTTTTTTTACTTTATGTTATACTTGAGTCTTCTTGCACAAAATGACTAATATGGAAATGTTTTATATAACAGCACACGTATAACATATCTGATTACTTACACTCTCAGGGAAAGGTGAGAGGAAAAAGGAAGGGATCGAATTTAAGACTCAAAACTTTAAATTAGAAAGTTAAAAAAATTAAATTAGGTATAGCAATAAAGGAAGAAAAAAACTGAAAGAATCAGACAACGAGGAAACAAAAATTGTCACTTTTTGCAGATGGTATAATGATATCTTTACAAAATCCTAGAAAATAAACTAAAAAGGTACTTTAAATGATTAACAACTTCAGCAAAGTTGCAGGATATAAAATAAACACACATAAACCCCAGCCCCAAGAGATAGAAAAAGAAATTCCATTTTAAATAACTGTAGACAGCATAGAATGTTTGGGAATCTACCTGCCAAGGGAAATGATTTTGGGGCTCTGAAGACCAGAACAGTAATGATGAGTGGAAATTTGAAACCCAAGATAAATAAGGAGATGTTGAAAGAATTCCCTGTCTCCTTCAGTGAGATCACACCACCAGACCTACATGAACATCCTATGATGTTGGAAGAAGTGAGATGTGACTGCTGAGTCACTGTTGTCATTCACTGAAAGATCATTGAGAATGAGGCTGGTGCTTCAAGTCTGAAGGAAAACATTTCCATTTTTAAAAAGGAAAGCAGGTATAGTCTGTTAATTATAGGCTAGGGAACTTGATTTTACTTCATTGCAAAATTCCAAAATAGTTTATTAATGAATTGTGTTGATCACTAAAATGCGTCTTGATTTTATCAGGAACAAATCAAGATGGAAATTTGTAGCCTACATGATAGCACAACTAGGTAGATTCTAAACTGGTTGAATGGCTGGGGAGTCATCATCAATCAGTTGACATCAAATTGGAGGAATAATGATCTGTACTTAACCCTGTGCTTCTTAATATATTCACAATTTGGATGAAGGTTTAGTTGGAGCAGCTAATTTTTAACCTGAGAAGGATAGTTACCATGTTGTATGAGAGAATCAGAATTCCAAAATATCTCAATAGGGAAGAATGTTGACCCAAATGTAACAAGACAAAATTGGTTAAGGGACAATTGAAAGTATTACATTCTGATTTTCAAAAATCAACACTCTAAGTACAAGCTGGGCGAGGCGTGGCATCCATAACAAACATTTGCCTGAAAAAAATTTGAGATGCAACATGTTATAGAGAGAGTGCAAGCACTGGATTTATTTAGGATTTCTGAGTTCAAATCCTGCTTCATATTTATTAGCCATGTGATGATGAATAAATCACTTTGGTCAATAATCAGAGTCTTAGCTTCCTTATCTATAAAATGTACTATCTACCTCAAAGGGTTATTGTATGTGTGGGAGGGGGCAGTTTCCAAATCTTAAAACATTATAGAAATTTAAGCTGCTATCATTTTAATGGACTTCAAGATTAGTTAGTTAGAAGCACGATGAGGCCGACAAAATGGTTTATTGAGTGTGATCTTAGTCTACATTAAGAGCAAGGCACAGTGTGGCTAGAAGGCTTTTAAGGGGTGAAAGGAATACCTGAATGCATAGTTCAAAGGAGTGAAAATAACCAGACCTGCAAACTAATGAATAATTATCCACATGGAAGCTTCCAGGGAAATTCAGTCAATTTAAGGAAACAAATCAATTCAATCAATGATTTAATTCTATTTTGATGCCTTCATGCACAGGCCTTCTCACTTTCATTATCACCACTTTATTCTGTTTATGTCTTGTATATGCAGGATTGCTTGCATGTTTTCTCCATAATTTCATGTCGTTCAGACTGTATTAATCTTTCCCCTCTTTAATAAGAATGTACTAATTTTTTGCATAGCAGTAATATTGTACAGATTGAGGAAGGGGGAAATGAGTGGACCAGATCTATGATTTCATTATTATAGGAAATCCTAGTGAAGAAATTCCCTCAGCCTATAGACACTGGCCCCAGATTAGCAGATATGAGTTGTCTGGAGCACTGAGAAATTAAGTGACTTGCCAGGAGTCTCAGAGCCATTAATTGTCGAAGGCTGAAATCAAACCCATGTTTTTCTGATACCTATGCCTGCTTTGTGTCCTCTGCCCGAGGCTGTCTCAATTGTTGTTGCTATTGTCTTCTTTGGACTAATGCTAGTTGCCAAACGCTCATCTTATTTACAAATGTACTTGGTTCATTTTTATTTAAAATATTGATGATAATAATACTGATAATTTATTCCTTTGTCTTCACAGAACTTGCTATATTAAAAAAAGATGAAATGAGATAAACAGCAGAGGTTGGAGTAGGGTGGGTTCAATGAAAGAATGAAGACCTAAATGAGATAAAAGTAATGGGAAACATCTAATGACACTTTGTTTTTGTACAAACCTTGAAATTAACCCTCTTTTTATATAGTTCCTTCTCACAAAAGATGAAATCTTGACCAAGAGAGAGGATTGGGGGACAAACTCTCCCACTTTCATGAGAACTTCAACATCATCAGTGCCCCAAAGTTCATGATATCATATTTAGCCACAGGATTCTTTTCCACACCCAAAACCACCTGGTCCCCAGCAGTGATGTTAAAGGAAATATTCCATAAAGATGAGTGAATCTAGGTGGGGAAGGAATTGAGTCATTCCCTCATATCCACAGGCAGGCAAAACAGGACCAAGGTTGATGGTCCCGTCAGGAAGCCTACAAGCATGTTCATTTATCCATTCACTCATTCATTTACTCATACAGCACACATTTTCTAAGCACATTGTTTACACAAAAAAATCATTGTAGGTGTAGAAATCTCAAGGTCTGAGGGTTGTCTTATGTGATAGAATTAATTAATTCTAATTAATTAAAAGCCCTGCTTTTTGCTAGGATTTAGATAAGGAGGAAACTGAAAGACTGATGATGAATGGAACTACTAACATGCCTCTCATGCTGCCTTGAATGCATTAAATGCTTGCTTGGGAGTTTGATGAGATAACCTATGTACACTACTTTGCAAATCTTACAGTGATATTTAAATGTTAGCTACTACTACCATCACTTCTACTATTTTAAAAATTAAATTAGATCACACCCGAGCAGGAATCATTCAATCATCTCTCCATTGGATGGATGTCCTGAAGGGGTCCAGGTAAATGGGCAAAGGGGAAGCTGGTTGAACTCTCCCCTTCTAAGTCCCTGATCACTCCTATTCTCCATGGTTCACTCTCACATCACTTAGTATCAAGCAGTCCTGGTTTTCACTTCTGTGAGCAGTGTGTGCCTCTAAGCTCATTTGACTTATGATGATGAGGCATGGAGAACCAAAATTTCAATAATCATCAATAGATGTTTATGCAGATGTTGATATGCATGAAAAGCAGTGCCCATCTGGTGATCCAAGGAAGCTTTTTTTTCTCTAGTACAAGGATCTGAGGTTCCTGAGTTCCACTTATTCCATTAATATTGGCATTCTTTGCACTGACAGTGATGATCAGGCACCACACACCTGAGTACATAATCTTCAGAAGCTACTGTGGCCAAAACCAGCATGGTGCTCATTGATCTCCTGCAATGACACTTTGCATGCTTAGCTAGACTTGATGGCATGTACACAGCTGGTTGCTGCTCCCACACATGAAGCATTTCTTGCATTTCTCTTCTTCAGTCATTTCAGTCATGTGCAACTCCTTGTGACCTCCATGAGGTTTTCTTGGCAAAGTGCTGAAGTGGTTTGCCATTTCCTACTTCATCACATTTTTGTAGATGAGGAACTGTGGCAGAGTTAAGTGACTTGCTCAAGGTCACACAGCTAGTAAGTGTTTGAAGCTGGGTTTGAACTCATGGAAATAAGTCTTCCTGATTCTAAGCCCAGTGCTCAATGGACTCTGTAAACTAGCACAACTTACTATACCTAGAGCACTTAAATTTAGAGAGCTATATGAGCGGTGAGCAGGGCCATGAAAAAAAATTGAGACACCATATACAAGAATTATATCAGGACAGATATGATCATGGTTCATGGTTCCCAGACTGAAATATAGGGAGAAGAAAGGAATAAAATGACATTATGAAGGAAAACAACCTTACATGATGTCAGAATGTTTATCAATGCAATGACCTATCTTGATTTCAGAAGATTGATTGTTAAAATTAACATACTCCTCTTGTCAGTGTGGTGGTGGACTAATGGGATGAAATGAGACATTCATTGTCAGATGTGACAAATAGTTCATTTTATTTTGATTAACTATGATTTTTTTCTGAGGCAATATTCTATTAGGGAAGGATCATTTGAATATAATTATTTTTAGTTATCATTAAAACTTTAAAAAGTGACAACAAGAATTTTTTTTAATTGAGTCACAACAAACTCTAATGAGTCTTCAAGTTTGGATTCAAGAAGTGAATGGGATTCCTCTAAAACTTTTTTTAAACATTTTTTCATGATCCTTGCAGAATGGTGAAGCCTATGAATCTCTTCTTAGAACCATTTTTCTTATTTTTAATTTCTAATAAAAAATTCTAAATTTCAATTGGAAGTTAGTGAAAATAAAGATGTACATTTTTCCCACTCAAATTCACAGACCTTCTGAAAATTATCGATGGACCCCTTGGGGGATGGTGTAGAATAGTAGAACCCAGGTTGACAACTCATACTCTGAAATAAGGACCCTAATTCTCCACGTAATTAAAGCTGAGGCTACCATTATTTCTCACAAACATGAGTGATTTCTTGGAAGCCTGCATTTTGTGTCCATCAGGGGTTGGCACTGGGAAAGGTTTCTGCATAAGGGCCCATTGTAGAGCACATACAATAAGAAAAGGAGAAGTATTTGGAAAGATTGGAAGTAGTACTTTTTAAAGAGGGCAGTCAGGTTTCATCATGTTTCTGCATCGAACAATTTGGTCACTGCTTCTTAAGAACCAATTTGACATGCATTCTACATTGAATTCAAAGTGTCATAGGCACCAGGCTTGAGAAAGTCTTTCCTGTAGTTCTGAGGGGAAGACTCAGCCCTTCAGTAAGAGAGGGGCCACAACAATGCTTTGAAGTTATGGATAAGTTCTCAGTAGGGTGGTGTATTCATAATGCCATTAGTGAAGAAACTGTTAAGTGATCTCAAGGAAGGCAAACTAAGAAAATCATGTAAAACAAGGCTTCTACAACTCTGACCCTGAGGCATGTCACATAAAAGCAAGAGAAATGCTGATGCCAAGGAAAGTAGCAAACCAAGAATGCCCACTTGTGAGCCTGGGGATAACAACGGACATCACCTCAGGAATAAGGGACGTTACCTGCCAAGGTTGAGGCACCAGGTACACCTCGTCTCTCACAGATCTGATTTCTGAACTGGCATGGAACATTTCATGAAGAGCCCAGGCCACAGCATACACAGCACTATCGAGGAAGTAGCTGAGGCTATATGTGGTCATGTCAAAAGAGTGCAAAGGCAGCATCTCCAAGGAAACATTCAGTGGACAGTCCTCCTGCTCCAGTCTGGTTGACTCATCTGGGCACTCAAATGCCAGCACCCAGAACCTTTTGGAGAAAATGTCTCCTGGGTATTTGGTTGGGGTGATTGCCCTGAGAAAGGCTTTGAAACCAGGAATCTCATTTGTCTGATATGAAAATATAAGTGATCCATAAAAAGGAGAACCATGATGACCATAGGGTCTCATGGTGACATCCCAGTGTGATGTGATAATCCAAACCTTCCAAATTCCAAATAAAGGTGGCTGAGAATATCTCAGGATCATCGGTGAGTCTATATCACCATGGATAATGATCACCTTGGCTGATGATGCCATAATTCTGGGCATGAAGTCCATCTGGGATTCAGCAAGGCATCTCTCACTGACAGGGATCTTCTCTGTGAAGGCCGCACAGGCTTTGTTCCTTCTCATCTCTTCTCCCATGTCCCAGAGGAACTTCTCACCTCTCATGTCATCTGGGACAACCAGCCCCACCCAGGTCCAACCAAAATGTAGCAGCAGCAGAATGATACCCAGGTACAGAGAGGAGTCCTGAGGGGCCATCTGGTATAGGGAAGGAAATTGGGCCTTGTCACTCAGGACAGGATCAAATGGGACGTAGCTTAATTGGATGGGAAAGAAAGATGGGTCTCACTGGGCCATATGAAAGTGATACTGGGGCATAGCAACAAATCTCAATATATTACCAAATCTACTTAACTTCATTAGGGGGACAATAGAGTGGGCTCCTCTAGGTGTTGGTAGTAGATGAAATTCTAGCCATCCCAAGATTAGATCAGCTGAAAGACCATGACTGGAAGACAGAATATTCTGATGTTACTGGTTGTAAATCCTTCACTGCCCTGAACCATCCGTGACTTCTTTCTGAATTAGTTCAGCATTTCTCCTGACTCACTATCCTTGTTTGTGGCCCCAGAGAAATTTCCTGAGTAAAACTAACACATTATTACTATGTATTGGAGATGGTGGTGGTTAAGAAGAGATTCTTTCTTCAAGCAAAGTGGAATTCTTCAAGAATGGTGTTGCCAAGACCAAACTGCCTGATGATTAAATGTATGCTCACATATATGAGGCAGCTAGGTCCCACAGTTGATAGATCACTAATCCTAAAATCAGGAAAGTCTAAGTTCAAGTCCAGTGTCACACACTTATTATCTGTATGTCCCTGGACAAGTTACTTGAGCACTGTTTGCCTCAACTGAAAAAATAGGCATAATATTAGTACCTAATTCCCAGGGGTATTGCATGAATCAAATAAGATATTTCAAAATTGTTTGCAATACTCACAGCTTCATTTAACTGTTAATTATTATTTAAATAGTAATTGTTTGCAACATAGTAATAGTAACATGTCTGCAATATTGATTGCTCATTTTGGAATAATTTTTTTTTTAGGAATGGAGAACTCTTTAATCATTTGGGTGAAGAGGGTCCTTCTACCAATGAAGGTCAGTACCTTTTCTGTAACTTGTAGGTTTAGAAGAACCTACAGCATGGAGTGTCTAAGTGATTTCTCCAAAGTCATGGAGTCAATCCATTGCTCGGGTCCCGGGCTCACTCTCCCAGCCCCAGTCACACTGGCATGCCAGGTTCCTAGAGGCCAACTGGATACTTGTCACCTTAGGTTTCTAGAGTTCACTCTATGATGTTGAGTGTGTCTTTCTAATGCTATTCCTCCTTATTCCCTATCAGGGTATGAATTACATTCTAGCCACATTGCCTCAGAGGGAGTGCTGAATTAAGAGTCAGAAAGCTATGTGGCATCTAGGTGGCACAGTGGATAGAGTGTGGGACCTGGAGTCAAGAAGCCCTGAGTCTAAATCTAGTCTCCATTAGTTACTAGCTGTGTGACCGTGGGCGTGTCATTTGACTTCTCCATATATAAGATATGGAGACCCTGAGGTTGGCAAAGTTGTATCAGCAGAGTTCAGGTGGAAAGAAAAGGTTTAGGAAGAAGGAGGACTGAATTGGAAAAAATATCATCAGAAAATTGTGACACTGTGATCCAGAGTAGGAGAGGGAGTAGGGTACTGGCAGTCATGCCACTGATGAGTTCTAAAGAGGTATGAAATTCACTTTGGCTGCCCTCTCAGAGTGTTGGATTTGGAGGAGAAAAGTCCTTAGTGCAAATACTGCCTGAATACATAATAGTTATGTAGCATCTAAGTGGCACAGTCAAGAGAATGCTGCACATGGAGGCAGGAAGACCAGAGGTCAAACCTTGCCTTAGTCAGTTATTAGCTGTGTGATCCTGAGCAAGTCACTTAACTCCTCTCTGCTTCAATTTCTTTAACTGTAAATAGGAGATTAATAATAGCGCCTACCACACAGGGTTGTTCTAAGGGTCAAATGATATACTTGTTCCATAGTATGTGGTACATAGTAGGCACTTAATAAAACTTCTATCCTTTCTACCTTCTATCTAGTATAATGCTGGACAAGTCACTTCACCTCAAAGAAAAGAGCAAGAGACGTCATGTTTAAACCTCCCTACCTGTGGTATTCCGTAGAGCTCCAGAAGAGTTCCCATTTGGACAGAAATAGCAGATGTGGCACCTCCAATAACAGCAATGGACTTATCCTGCCTCTGACAACTATAATTTGGGGTTGTGGGGTCCTGTCCTGAAAGCCACCTCAGGGAGCTCTCCAAGGTCCTGGCATCACTATGGTAGGTGCTGTAGATATGAAAACCCAGGGTAGTATTAGGGAGCAGCCAGGGGTCTCTATTGATCTCGTCCACGGCAAACATCAGGGCTAGAACCTGCTGGTAATTTTTGTGTAGCCACCTGCAGGGAGTGAGGAGTAGATTAGAAGCTAGTAACAAATCCTATGGACCCCATACAACTTGAAGGAGACAAATCCATCCATGCTAAGTTCTGACCACAAGGCCCAGGGCACAGGCAGCTTGGTCTGTTGATTACAACACCTCATTTCCACATGACCTGCACTCCTATATTGTTGACCTCTTTGAAATTTGGAGTGTGGGTGGTAGAGGGGGAAGTTTTCCAGAATTACTAACCATGCTGACTATTTGGAATGCTATCCCTGCTCATGTCTACTTCCTGGCCTTTTTGCCTTCCTTCATGATTCAGATTAAATCTTTCTGTCTGTAAGAGTCCTTGCAAGTCCCCTCATGGTTAGTGGCTTTTCTTTGAGATTCTCTCCCATTACAATGTATATGATTTGGATTTACACAAGTGTTTGAATGTTGTCTGCCCCATTAGAGTATCAGCTGCTTAAGGGCATGGACCATATTTTTACCTTTCTTTGTAACTGCAACACTTAGCAGAGTGTAGGGCATGTAGGAAGCAGTTAATAAATGATTGCTGACTGACTCCCTGAACAGATTCACTTAGTCATTTCATTCAACAAGTGTTTATTGACCAGTTACTGTGTAAAATGCACTAGACAAATAAGAATTGTTCTCTGGTCTCAGTCTCACAATCTCATCTAGGAGATATGCACATCAATAACCCGTTTCTAAGGCAGAACATGATAGATGCCACATTCTTAGTGCTACACATACTAGCAGTTCAGGGAAGGGAAATGTATGCTCTGGCTCAGTACAGAGCCCACTTTTACCCCTTAAGGAAAATGTTCCCAGGAGGAAGCTGAACCGTTGCAGATGTATCTCTTGCCAGCTCAAGAAAACCTGGTTCTTTCCACAAAGTGTCTTTGGAAGATTTATCCTTTGAGGGAAACCTCTAATAGTAATAGTGGCTCAGTCTAGAAGGAGGCAAAGACCCAACTGGAGACAGTATGCTCACTGAGCACAGGAAGACTAGGACCTATTGTTGTGCTCTTCAATCTGTCTGAAACCTCAGTTTCTTGGGTTTGTGAGTAACACATGAGCAACTTTTCTTGTATTGTTCTCCCAGAACCTATTCCTGATGCAATGCCCAATTTTTTCTTTGATACCTGCAATGAGTCCTTCCTCTAGCCAGTGTTTACTCTGTATTTCTGCTCGATGTTATGAGAGTGGCACTCTAGTTTGAACAGGATGCTTCTCGCTTCTGGCCATTCATAACAGAGACATTACTGGTGACACTTATCCTATCAACTTTATATAGCTTTTAAAAAGGAAAACTCATGGTATTTGACCATTTTGCTTTCTCTTTCTCTCACCCCCTCTTCCTGTCTTTTCAGACCCAGACAGGGGCTAAAGAAATGTCCTATGCATTGTTAAATGTGACTAGAGAAAGAGAAATACAGAGGGGTATTTTTGTACAGGGGTGAGCCCTAGAGTTCCAGTGAGTCACTGAGGGAAGGTTCAGGGATATTGGGAATGGTCATATTCGAGTCATTTAATGGCTAAGATGACATCCATGTTGGAAAGCATTGATCTCATCCCCTCATTTCTATGTTTCATGAAGCACTAAAGAGATAGCAAGGTTTTCTGTATAAGGCATGCCAATCCACAATTCTCTGACCCAAACATATGTCAGGCTTTATCGTGTCATGGAGAAAGCCAATGACAGGTAATTCATCCTGCCCTTCTGGCCCTGTCCATTGATGCACTTTCATCACCAGCACTTAGTCTTGTTCATACTGGATGTCCCAGGGGCTTCCCGGGCTTCCCAGGCTTCCCAGGAATTTCCACGTCCAAAGACTTCATCTTAGTTCCTGCATGCATCCCACATCTGGAACTGGAGAATGCATTAAATAAGACTGGCCTCTGAGGTAGGAAGAGTGGCCTACTTGGTAGATTTCACAAGTAAAGATTTTTCCTTGCCATTATCATTGTCTTCCCTTGTATCAAAGAACATGTACCTGGCCAGTCTTCTATCAAAGGGTAGAGAACAGGAACTGACAAAGTTCAGAAGATATCTGTGTCAAGGGCTTGAGGTTTAATCATTGTGTGCACCACCTCCACTCACACAACTCACAAACTCCCTAGGACTTCTAGTCTTAAAACATTCCCTGATGCTTAGCATGACCCCAAGTATCATTATTTTAACCTATGTCTTCTTGTGTTCCATGTCCAGCCTCCTATTGAATATTGACACCACTTGCTGTTTCTCTCACTCATCTACTGTCTCTAAATATTAAGGTACATACTCTTGTAAATGCAATACATATATGTTCATGGAGAATATGAAGGAATAACAAAACAGGAATAAATGGTGGAAAGTTGGCCAGAATAAAGACAAAGCTTCTCAATAATAAAAAGTCTGTTAAATATCAGGAGATAAAAGAATTAAAGGTTTTTACAAGAAATACAATTTTTTGATTCACAATTTTAAAAGTTTACATAAGAAATATTGAGAGAAATTTATTTCTTGGTAGGCCATAAAACAATAACAACAGAAAGTAAAATGTCAGAAGAAACAGAAAAAATATTACTTGTAAGAATAAATGTGAGGGTGGAGCCTGATGGCAGAGTAAAAGCAGTGACTTGCTTGAGAACTCCTCCAAATCCCTCCAAATACCTGTAAAAAATGACTAAACAAATTCTAGAGCAGCAGAACACCAAAAGACCAAGTGGAACAAATTTCTAGCCCAAGACAACCTGGATGATTGACTGGAAAGGTCTATTATGCCAGGCTGGGAGAGGAGCACAGTTCAGCATGGTCTGTGCAGGCAAAGACGGATCCTCAGCAAAACTGGAGCAGGCCTCAGGGGACTGAATCACTCACAGATATGGTGGTTTCCAGATTTCTCAACCCACAAATGCCAAAGACAATTTAGAAGCTCAGTAGGAAAGGTCTGTGGGACCTTGGTGAGAAAGGAGAGTGGTCCACTCCCAGCCCTGGTACAGCCCTGGGGCAGTGGCTGCTTCCAGAGCTCTTGGCCAACAGACAGTGGGGGGATTGAGCAGCTGATCAGAGGAGGATTGCATGAATCTCTTTGCTGGCACTGAAGCTGGATTCTCTTGCTTTGCCTGTGCTTGGATCTGGGTCACAATTCTGCGTGGCGATCATGGGGGGAGAAGGAGCACTGGCGTGGTGGGCTTTGTAGTGGTGGTGGAGAGGGAATCACAGTTCCCTCACAGTTCCAAGGCAGAAAAGAGTGCTTATGGTCATGCATAGACCAGAGCACAGGACAAGAAAAGAGTAAACACCTCTCCTTTGATCATGTGATCTTGGAAGAACTGAAAATTTACAGGTACCTAGAAGTATCTCTGAAAATAGCTGCACAAAACTCCTGAAGCTTGGGACAGTACACCCTTCACAGTAGAAGCAGAGCCCTACCTTAACAAAGAGTTAAAAAGTCAAGCAATTGGCTGGGAATATGAGCAAACAGTGGAAAAAATTCAGACTATAGAATCTTACTTTGGGACAAAGAAGATCAAAACATGCAACCAGAAGACCACAAAGTCAAAGCTCCTACATCCAAAGCCTCCAAAACCATATGAATTGGTCTTAAGCCATGCAAGAGCTCAAAAAGGATTTTGGAAAGCAATTAAGAGAAGTAGAGGAAAATTGAGAAGAGAAATGAGAGTGATGCAAGAAAATCATGAAAAATGAGTCAACAGCTTGCTAAAGGAGACCCAAAAACATGTTGAAGAAAATATTACCTTAAAAATAGACTAACCCAAATGGCAAAAGAGGTCCAAAAGCTCACTGAAAAAAATGATTCCTTTAAAGTTAGAATGGAGCAAATAGAAGCTAATGACTGTGTGAGAAATCAAGAAGTTATAAAACAAAACCAAAAAAATGAAAAAAAGAAGACATTGTGGGGCAGCTAGGTGGCACAGTGGATAGAGCACTGGCCTTGGAGTCAGGAGGACCTGAGTTCAAACCCGACCTCAGACACATAACACATACCACTTGTGTGACTCTGGGCAAGCCACTTAACCCCAATTGCCTCACCAAAAAAAAAAAATAGAAGATAATGTGAAATATCTTATTGGAAAAACAACTGACCTGGAGATTAGATACAGGAGAGATAATTTAACAATTATTGAACTACCTGAAAGTCATGATCAAAAAAAGAGCCTAGACGTCATCTTTCAAGAAATTATCAAGGAAAACTGCTCTGATATTCTAGAACCAGAGGGTAAAATAGGAATTGAAGGAATACACTGATCACCTCCTGAAAGAGATTCCCAAAGGAAAACTCCTAGGATTATTATAGCCAAATTCCAGAGTTCTCTGGTAAAGGAGAAAATATTGCAAGCAGCCACAAAGAAATAATTCAAGTATTGTGGAAATACAATCAGGAAAACACAAGATTTAGCAGCTTCTACATTAAGGTTTCAGAGGGCTTGGAACATGATATTACAGAGGTCAAAGGAGCTAGGATTAAAACCAAGAATCGCCTACCCAGCAAAACTGAGTATAATGCTTCAGGGGGAGGAGGAATGGATATTGAATGAAATAGAGGACTTTTAAGCATTCTTGACGAAAAGACCAGAGCTGAGTAGAAAATGTGACTTTCAAACTAGTAGAATCTTATTAGAAAATAATGCTATTAGTATATACCAAATTAACAAAATTGACTATATTCTTTGACCAAAAATCTCGTTGTTTGGAATATACTCAGAGAGTTTTATTTTAAAAAAGAAATAAAAGGATTGCTTTGTTTATAGCAAAATAATTTATACTAGAAAATAAAAATCCCTAGAAGCCATATAAATGCCCAGAAATATGTAATACTTACATAAATTAGAGATACTTTGATAGGACAGAGTTACCATGGTGTTGTAGAGTGGTATCAAACTTGAATAGAAATAAAAGCCACTAAACCATAAATAAGGATCCCTGCAAGTTGCATATTAACTTGGAAAATCATATCTCATCCACATATTGTTTCATTTGTCTCCTGAAAGATTTCCCAAATACAT